ATAACAGGGTGACTCATACATAGGGATTTTTATGCTATTTTAATGGAGCCACACTCATTGTCTAGAACATGCCTTGCTACACAAAATTTTGAAATGCAGCATCGAATGTTATAAACCCATATTCAAGACAGAACTAGTCTTATTCAGTCACTGGGGTGTATAGATTTGTCCCCATTTGTGTAATGTGTGTGTTTCTACAGAGACATATTTGTGTATGAGAACATGTGAGGAGGACTAAGAGGGTGTGTAGACTGTTCTCTGTGCTTCTCTTTCTATTACTGCCTTTTTCTACTACATGCAAATATTTCACTTTCACCTAGAAACAAAAGACCGAAAAGAAAGCAATGATACGAGCTTTGATTGAAGGGAAAAAGATGGAAAAGCGTTAGAGACGCTGATGTGCCTAGGTGAATCTGCTTTGCATAGCTTGATGCGGAAGGTAGGTGAGGTGAATGGATGTAGGCAAGGTGCAAGGTTGGCTTGCTCTGAAATGTAGATGTCAAAGACAGGTGCAGTGCTAAAGTCTGTAAGCGAAGCCCCGCCAAGCAAGTTAGCTCACCGCAGGATTTTTGGACTTACACTGCCTGTGTCTGGAAGGCCTGGGATGAGTTGTCCACCTGATCTACCTTGTCATCGTTTATATTTGGATGTCCCTGCAAGGCCTCAAGCTTTCATAGATGGGGTTTGGGGCAGGTAATAGGAGCAAGGGTGCTTAAGACTCATCAGTGGATTAATCCATTTATGAGTTTGTGGCCTGCATGATTTCTCTTTCCTGGCCTTCCCTTCTCCCTCTCGCTGCTTCCTGACTGCTGTATCATAACCAGACCCCTCTGCCAGGCCACCCAGCCTTGGAGCCAGCTGACTCTGAGCTGAAAACTCTAGAAACTGTGAGCCAACGTAAACCTTCCTCCTTAACTTGTGTGCTGAGTTTTGTGCCTCAGCGATGAGAAAGTGACTAAGATACACCCCTTTGCACATCATCAGCCTCTCAGATGCTCTTTTTCAAGAAGGGCCTCCTTGGCCCCTTATGCAAAAATAGCTAAATTCCCTGTGCTCAGAATAAATCCTTTCACACAGCTTTCTTTGTCCTCATAGCATTTCCTTATCCCTAGAGAGTGAAAGTTTCTTTCTTGACTTACTAAAAACTAAGCTTCCAGAGAGCGGGGGTGGGGGGGGGTGGGGGTGAGAAGGAAGGAAGAAAGAGAGAAAAGAAAAGAAAAGAAGAAAATCTGGGTATAGCAGTACATAGTACATACCTGTAATCTCAGCATTCGGGAGGCTGAGGCAGGAAGATTGCTATGAGTTCAAGGCCAGCCTGGGCCACATAGTGAATTCAAGGCCAGCTGGAACTACATAGCAAGATTGTCTCAGAAAAACCAAACAACACCACCAACAACAAAAATAACAAATAATGCAAAATTATCCCCAGTGAACAAAACAGTATGACACAAAGTAGATAAATGTATAACTAAGTAGTAAATAAGCAGAGCTAAACATGGGTGCTGTGAGGATTGCTAGAGAAGGACTTGCATCTACTGCACTTATGCTTATGTAGTTCCCTTCTTGAATACTTTTACCATTTGCATAATTATTTCATATGCGAACTTATACACAACACATGCAGTATAGATCCAGCTGCTTTAATAGAAGATCAAAATAACGTGAGAAGACATCTTTCATATAGAGTTCAGGAAATGTCTGTTTTGTGCTGCAAAGAATAATAAAATCCATAACCTCAGACTCAGGAAGGACTTTGAAGAACCCAGACCTCAGGCCGACCGAATGCTTAGAGCCACTCATGTGGCTGTAGATCCTCCGCGTTGATGTGAGTGGATGTCCACCCCATTTCCTGTAACACTGCTATTAAGTGGGAGCTTGATACTTTACCAAAACCTACGTGTGCCTCAGAAGTGGTGCTTTTGGCCAGACTTCTTTGTGAAAGAAATATTAGCTCATAGAGCCTACTTTGCTTTTCTCATTTGTAAAACGAAGTGCAAATGAATAGATTTACAGCAGCACAAAAGTTGTATGTGACTTACAAAGATTCCTGCAAATGTTAATTATATTTGTTATTTTGATACATATGTTGAGGAAAGGCCTGCTAAGGGTTAGTGTAGATTGCAAGCCTTTTGTATAAGTGTGTGTGTGTGTGTGTGTGCACACGCATACTTCTTGATGCCTGACTCTGAGCTAGGCACCAACAGTTGCTTTGGAACCAGTGGTCGTTGGATGTTAAATCATGCTGCCTCCTGCTCTGTGAGCATTCACTGCCCGAGCGGGGGTGTTGTGTGGCTTATTACCTAAACCAGTTTCCAAAATGGGTAATTGTGTTCTGACTCATACAATTCCCCTGCATTTCCTGACTGTTTGGAGTGACTTATAGCTTCCTGTTCTCCCTTAATGGATATGTAATGAAGTGCCATATTTCAAAGTCGGGGCTGCGTTTCAGGCTAGAGTGGACTGCTCTTTAGTAATGTCTCAGGAGAGGGTGGGCATAGAGCTTGGCCTCTACCCTGAAACCAAGGTGAAAAGTAAGAGGTCTTCAAATAGAAGATGATTTTGAGGGGCTACAGATCCTCTCAGCTGGAGTTTTTCAGTGTTCGTCATTAGTATTTCAGATACTGTAAGAGCCCAGGCTTTTGGGACAGTCTGCTGGATTCACACCTTTGTCCCACTGCTTCTTAGCCATGAACTGATTGCATGATCGATCTCAGTCTCAGTTTCCTCATTTGAAAAATGCTGATAATAATAATGCCCATCGCTAGGACTTCCATAAAGATCAAATGAGATATTCTATATGAATACTAAGCCCAGTATGTGCATATTTTGGGGCTCAATAAATGTTGACTCTCAGTGTGCCTGTCTCTTTGTTGATGTAACTGTCAAGAAGCCTTTGGCAGGTGATTTGAGTCCAGCTGGGAGGTGGAGGGATACATAGATGAATTACAGCAACAGAGAATAATTATGCATCATGTACAGAAGCATGGAGATGGACGTAGTTAATACATATTGAGGTGAGGACGAACTTCCCAGAGGAAGCAGGCTCAAAGGAAAAGAGAAATGTAGGAGAGACACATTCACCTAGCGGAAGCTCCATGTCAGTAAACATGTGGGTGAGTTTGCTCTTTTGTTCATAGAGTCCATGTGGATGCATTGAATTCTCCCTTATGCAGCAGGATTTGTATCAGATTCAGGCAATGCAACAGTGAGCAAAAAGACAAAATCCTGCCCTGTGGGACTTCCACTCAAGGCGAGGGTACTGAACTAATAACCTGTGTAGCCTTGTGAGGGTCACAAGGGACAAACACAAGGTGTCATTGAGTGGTGTCACACCTAGACTGATTAGATACTGGAGTGGTGTTTCCAGGAGTGCTTCTGGGGGTAACAGATTTAAACTAAGACCTGTAGGGTGAGTGGGAGCGAGGTAGTGAGAGAGCAAGGAAAGCTCTATGCTCAGGAGTCCCGGGCCTTCTGGGAGCTGAACAAGGTCCCAAGCTTGTTGGACACAGAGAGCCCAGGGAAGGGAGCAGAGAGTAGAGTGTGTGCTGAGATAGGAAGTGAGGAGGCCTCAGGGTCATAATGGGCATTTGGGCCAAAGGATTGGGGCATTTGTCCCAAGTGCGATGGGAAGCCATTGTAGTTTAATTTCAGGCGTGGAAATGCCAGAATTAACCTTATATTTTTAAAAGATCATCTGCTGCTTGCACAGTGAATTACTGGGTTGAAAATGGACATAGGGAGAGCAGTAAGTAGTCGTGAGATGATAGTGGCTTGTACTGGGGCAGTGGCACAAAAATAAACAAGGTTAACTGCTGCATCTGGCAAGTTCTGAGGGACCTTTCGGGAGCTTCGGGGGAGCACTGTGTGCTATTTCACCCCAAGATGTCTGCAATTATACTATAAAAAGGGCCAGTGGAGGCGAAGGAGCAGGGAAAGGAAATAACCAGATTAGCATGTGCATGGAGGGTTTGTATTTCTGTACCCACCTCCTTCTTGAGCCAGGCAGTTATTGGATTTGGAGTAACAGCTGGGAGAAGGGCCCAGTATCACTGCAGGCAAAGATTGATGGGAAGTAGATTCTTTTGTACAGCAGCACAAAAGAGATATATTAAGGGGAGGCTAAACTTGTCAGTGTGAAAGGCTCATTTATCTTGTAAATTCTCACCCTGAAGCCACCTGAGTCTTCTTTCTGGCAAACTCAAATATGCTACTGTTCCAGGGCACCAGCCGGTCCCGCCAGCACTGTCAACTGTGTGTTTCACACCCTTTGGGAGGGGGCTTAAACTGTGCTAAAGGGGCCAGAGCATTGTGGGAGACGGAAGGGCAGAGAGAAGGTCCAGTGGGAGACAGCTTTCCCATTGTTAGGAACAGGGCAGCGTTCTCAGACTCTGACTGAGAGCTGAGACAGTGAAAGCACAGAAACCATTGAGCAGCCAGGAGTAAGTTGGAGAGAATGAAGCTATTTGCAAAAACAGGTTTATTATGACTTTGTGACAGAATATATGATCGGACCCTCAAGTGGGGGCTCATTTTTGGGAATCCCTGACACTCTACCTCTGACTGTCAACAAGAAATAATCCCGTGAGACACTGGATGCCCGGCCCTCTTCCGTGGGAGTGTTAGGAAGGGCACGTCTTGGGAGGAGCTTGCAGTTGGCTGAGGACATCCACAGTGAGGGAAGTAGTCTTAGATAAGGTAGAGTCTTTTGGACAACTAAAAAATATTAGAAAAAGTAAAACAAATTTTCTACCCTTGTGAAGTTTCAAGCCTACCTCACTTTATCCTTTAGGAAATTTAATAAGGAAAGATCATTTACAAGCCTTGCTATGTATTAAAGACAAATCTGTTTCCCTTAAAAAGCTCTTCATTTTTAAACTCGCGGACAGTGTTCTGTGTTGTTGTGCTTGTCCCCACGACATGTCCGGCCTCAGCTCTCCTGCTATAGATTGCAGACATTCACACAGGCTGTGTGACCTAGATTCCACTTATTCCTTTTTCAGGTTACAGAACTCAACCATGTGAAGAACGTAGCTCGATTGCCAAAAAGCACCAAGAAACACGCCATCGGGATTTATTTCAATGATGATACCTCCAAGACCTTTGCTTGCGAATCAGGTTTGTCTGAGGTGGAGGGGGCTTTTGTTTTTAGCTTTTGGGTGGGTGCTGAGCCTACTGGTGAATCTCTTGGCTCTTTCTACAGATCTTGAGGCAGACGAGTGGTGTAAAGTCCTCCAGATGGAGTGTGTAGGGACGCGGATCAATGACATCAGCCTTGGAGAACCTGACCTACTGGCTACCGGGGTCGAGAGAGAACAGAGTGGTAGGAACAGGAAATTCTCAGCTTCTTTTTCTATACAGTTTTGCCTGATATGATAAAACACAGGTCATCTTCATTATGAAAAAGTTTTGAATAAAAAATGCATAAAGAAAATAAAAAATAACCTTTTGCCCAGTATACAACTGTTATGAACATTGCAATGTATTTTTTCATCATGTCTTTTTCAGTGTGTATTATAAAAGTATCTACATTAATAATACCAGTTAGGAATTTTGAGGAATCTACTGTTTGCCAGATTAGCAAAAGATGCTCTACCGGTAATAGATTATTACATGTTTACAGCAGCACCATGGCATAGATATTACTATTTCCATGGTTTTGTAGATGATCAAACTAAAGTTTCCAAGGGCCAAACACTTTACTCCAACTTTAGTAGCTAGTTTGTGTTTGATTCCAGAAAGTACTCTTAAGCCTGTATTTACAATGCATAGATTTTAAAGTATAATGGCTTTTTGTCTTGTCATTTTGCTTAAAATTTTATTGAAAGCTTTCCAATGCTTTTAAAAGACTTTCAAATTCATGAATGTTTTATTCAGTTTAAAGCCACCTAAAAATCTGTGATTTTTTAAAAGACTGAAACATTGGAGCCAACTCAATTTAACATGCAATCTAGGAATGCATCATCTTAAATAATAATAATGACCAAAATATTCATGAGCATTTTAGCAAAAATCAATGTTGATTTACAGTATGAGCCTGGAATGATTTCTTTATCTTCAAATAGCTGAGCCTTGCGACAGGGCAGATTGGATCCCAAGGGCCTGTGTTAGTGACTCAAAGTCATCCGGATTGGTGAGGAACACAGCTGGCATGGGGTTGTACTGACACTGTCCATAGGCCCACACTCCATTAGCTAGTAAGAAATGGTCTCCTCCCTTATGGGAACTGTGTCTTCATGACACATTTATAGTCTGTGATGACACTGAATGTGCCATGTGTACCATAATCCATCTCCACCTAAGTGTTATTGACCAAGCCCTGGAAGTGCTGGCTAATTCAAAGGAGTCTCTTTGTAGATTGGGAAACTGAGCCTTCTACCGGGGTCATCTGCCCAGTCCTCAGCCCCCTCTGCTCATGAGTCATTAAATCAGGCTGACCCTGGGCAGAAAGGACAACCCATAGCCTCACAGATGTGTGCCTGGGAACCAGGCATAAAGAAGACACCCGACAGGTTTGGGTAATCACTGTTTCATAAAATGCTCCGATCAGCACTTATTTCTCACAAATTTATAGTTGTAAAGCAGTATCCTGATAGCACTGCAGTGGAACTTAAGAACTGATTGTACCTAGGTTTACTTTTCCCCTGCTGCTTTTCTGTATCTAAATTTCCTCTTTTGCCCAAAAGAAGTAAAAAATCTCTGGCATCAAATTACTAGGGATGATTATGAAACTCTACCATGTCTTGTACAGTCGTAATCTGTATAACTTCAAGCAATTATAATTAAAATCACCACTCCCACTACTATGATTCTTGAGTGAGTTACAGTTAATAGCAAAGAAATTTGCTTTTAAGCAAATAATTTGGTGATGGTCTCTCTTACTTGGTACCTAAAGAAGGCAATCTTTGTTGCTTGGTCCAGAACTCTCATGGGAGAAATATGCTCCATGAGAATGCATTTAAGGTGGGGATTTAGCTCAGTGGTTCCGCTGCCGCCTGCCTTGCATGCGCAAGGTCCTGAGTTTGATCTCCTGTACCATAAAAAAAAAAGAATGCATTTAAAAAATAACTGTTAATTGAAAGCAGTAAATATTTGATAATTGGGAGTTTGAAATGATTACAGAAATTTAAATTGAAGATTCATGGATACATTTCATGAACACAATCTTAACATTACTACTGTGTTTACTAAACTCAGCTAAATTCTGTGAAAATGCTAATGATTATCTTTTTAAAAGCAATTAACTTGGAATAGTACTAAGATTAAATTGTTAATGTCACGCAATTTTGTCAGATGTAGACAGTCTACCTTAATGATCCTAGGTGGAAATACTTTTTCTCATATATCACTTAGAAAATTTGACTGTAATTTATTTTATTAATGAATTTTCTAGAAATATAACAAAAACAGTAATTATATCTGTAGCCTGTGGGGATAAAAATTTGGTGGTAGTAATCAACAAAATAATATAGTTAGAGTGCTCTTGGTTACGTTTTTTATAATCATCCAAACAAGCAAATGGATATTTCTTTCCATATTTGGCTAAAGAAAGCATTTTGTTAAAACTAGTTCAAATATACCTATTGGGTTTTTTCCCCCCAAATTGCTGGTCAGTTAAGTACATGGAATTAGTGTGGAATTTTCTTTAAATAATTTTGGCTACAGCTTTATTCATTCAGTTATATAAATTATAAGTCGATTAATAAAACTTTAGTATAACTAGATCATATGACAATTATTTTGCACCTGTATATTTTATGAACACAGCAATGTGGGTGTAATTAATGTGTGCTTGGCAGGAAAAATGCTTTTAATCACATTTTAATCATTTCATTGCTTTAGTTTTCTATTGGCATACCAAATTTTTATTATGAAAATTTCAAAAGCATAAAATGGTCTTTACCCATGTAGATAAATGTTTGGTGTAGGTTGATAACTAGCATGTCTTATTATTATGCTACTTAATAGGGTCTGCATTTAACAAATCATTTTCTAGGACTGTCCATTTATGAGAATTATTAATCTTCCTGAATGTTCAGCTAAATGCTAGAATATGAGTTTGAATTAGTTTAAATGCTTCTGTGTTTCTACAATGTCTTTGATATTTTATTCCTGGGGATTTTAGACTAACCTTTTGTTTTTCTACCAGAGAGATTCAATGTGTATTTGATGCCATCTCCTAACCTCGATGTGCATGGCGAATGTGCCTTGCAGATTACGTACGAGTGTATCTGCCTTTGGGATCTCCAGAATCCCAGAGTCAAACTCATTTCTTGGCCGCTAAGTGCCCTGCGGAGGTATGGAAGAGATACCACGTGGTTCACCTTTGAGGCGGGGAGGTGAGTTTCCTGACTTTTCATGACTCTTTCCAGATTTTTGTTTGATTTTCCAAGCTCATATTACTGAAGTCTGCATATGAGATCCAACTTGAGGAAGTTCATAGAGCTGCAATTGTATAATGCAAGGGCTGTTGTAATATCCTCATATATTCCTCATGGCTTTTTTTCCTGGAGAGGATTCTAATATTTCACAATATGGCATGAATTTTCATTATATAATTTGATTTCACACCACAAACTGAATTTGAACTGGGTAAAAATGTTTAAAATTAAAGTACCATATCCTGGTTAAGCAAAGCGGAGGCCACCTTCTGGCTTTTGGGAGACATCCACATTATTAATCGTTATTCAGTGTATATTTCTGCATCTGCACTAATATGAGAGAGCATAAATATGAGGGGCCATTGACATTTTCCAAGTTGCATTTATTGAGTCCCATGTATTTTTCTCACAGTGTAATCAGTGACACTAACAATCACACTAATTAGCAAGTTAATTTTAAAACTTGCTTATTGCCACATCAGTGAGCATTTTTAGGGCTTCCCAATGTTCCTTCTAGAGGTTAATGTAAGAGAGAGAGAGAAGGAGAGAGAGAGAGAGGGAGGGAGGGAGAGGGAAGGAAGGAGAGGGAGGGAGAGGGAGAGAGAGAGAAAGGGAGAGGGAGAGAGGGAGAGAGGGAGAGAGGGGGGAGAGAGGGGGAGAGAGAGAGAGCGTGTGAGAATGCCAGCAGTGTCTGGGCTGATCTCTGCCTTGGAGGGGACCCCCACTGGGCAGTACTTCATTACCATTGGCCCCACTTTTCCTCCCTTAGGGTTTGGGCTCTTGTTTTGAAACACAACAGATAAATTTTATATTTTAAATTTTCAAGTAACTAATTTTAAGAAATACAAGTCCATCTGCATGTGGTTTGAAATTGCATTCTAATGGAAAACAATCAATTTATGATATTAAAACAAAGTTTGTAAAAGTAGACAGTTTTTCTAACAGGAACATGATATTTGATATAAGGAAAGTAAAAACAGATGTTCCGAACACCACCTAAGACCCCAATTCATGAGAATAGGTGCCAGTAATCCTCCCTTCAAATTAATTTGTTTACTTCATCTTACAGAAAGGTCAATTATTGAAAATTTACTTTTCCAAAAGATAGTCAACTTGATGTTCTTACAATTCTAGCAAGTTTTAAAAACTCCTCTTTCCCATAAGCCTCTTCTCTGGTCTATTTTATCTTCAAGATCTTAGAAAAAGGTTGGTGACTCTCCTAGACCACAGAGGTGGTCACATTAAAAATAAAACCTTAGGGCTGGGTGTGTGGCTAAGTGGTAGACGCTGCTGGCCTAGCATGCATGAAGCTTCAGTTCGGTTCCCAGCACCACAAAAATACCAACCAACCAATCAGACAAAGACCCATTAATGTTTACAACAGTGCTCCTCTTTTGTGAAAATTACCTCTTTGTTCTCTTTAAAAGAAAAAGACTTATAGAAAATTAGGAATTTATTTGGCCAGGTGTATTTCCTCTTTGAATCTCAGAAAATTGTAATTTTTAATTGTCATAATTTATTGGTTATCAGTGTATTAACTATAATCAGGAAAATCTGGATATAGAAAGTACTTTATAATAGAAATAGACATTTCTATTATCTATACACTTCTTAACATTCCCATTCATATTTTCTATTGATACATATTAGAATTCTGTATTGGTCAGGATTTGTCTCTTATAGGCAACACTTATTCAAACATCATTAGTATTAGTATTAGTATTAGTATTAGTAGTATTTTGCTGTTGAGGGGTTAGGGGTTGAATCTCATGCATGCTAGGCAAATGCTCTTCCACTGAGCTACATCCCCAACTTAAACATTACTATTTTAAATTGTTCTTTAATTTTCTGTTTGTAGGAAATAGTTATATGAAAGTAGCATGATTTTGTGGTAATATTTGAGAACCAAAATCTGAAAATCGAAATAAACTTTTATAGTAACTCATGACTACTTGAAGCTGTTTTTGGAAATTATCTCATTAATTTTCTGGGTATAAGGTAAATACTACTTATGTCCTACAAAAAGTTTAATTCATATTGAAAGCTAGTAGGACTACCAAAGATCTCAGAGATTATTTTAAAGACTTTTTTTTGGTAAGAAACCATAAATAATTGGAAGCAGGTGTATTTGAGTCTGTGTATGTGTGCATGCATGCATGCATGTGTGTGTGTGTGTGTGTGTGTGTGTGTTTACAGCATGGAATTGTGCTCATATTTTATAAAGGTTACTCTGACCTCCTTGTGGACACTAGGATAGAGGGGCAGATGTAGATGTGGGAAGATACTGCAGTAGCTCAGGTGAAGGAAATGGTAGGTGAAAAATAAAGATATACTGGGGACATAAATTCTGGAACCATTTCAATCGTCTTTGACCAAAAGCTGTAAAGTTCTGACTTGGAAAATGAAAATGTTTCATTCCACGACTTTGACAGCTTCTTTATGATCTGTCCTTCTGGGAATTTCATTCATGAACTCCAGCAGTTAGATGGTTTAATAATTACAACTCTGACCACACAGTGTTGTGCCTCCATTACTGTAGCGATGCAAGCTCTTTGCTGGTGTCCAGTAGCATTCTTATTTAGCAGTCATACTTTGCAAGGCTGATGCAAGCTAGGAACTGAGTGGAAGGAAGTGTGGGGTTGTGTTCTTAGCATCTCACTCATTTTTCAAACTTCATGGTGCAGTGTAAAGAGCACTTTGATAACCAGAGGGGGCCAGATCTTTTACTAGCCTTTGACCTTAGACAGAGTGCTTAGCTTCTCATAAGTTTTCCTGAGTAGTAACTTCCTTGCAAGGTTGTTCTAGGTAAGAGCAGTGATGGCTGCAGAGGACCTGGCATGGTGCTAGGGTCCTGAATAGTATCTTTCACATTCTGTTATGCTTGTTTGGGAGCAGTTCTTAGGCTTGCAGGATACAGACAGGGTGAAACACAAGGTAAAATGAACGCTTCATATTTTGCCTGAGATACAAATAAAGATGAATTTTTATAGTTACCATCAAGATGCTCAGGATAATAAGATCATTTGTGTTCCCCCAAGCGTGAAAGTTTCATATCTACTGTACTTTATTAGTGAAGATAATTTTTTCCTTGGCTATTTTTGGCTGTATTCAAAACAAGGCAATTTCATATTAACTAATGTAATGTCTTCCTCTCTCACATCAAGAAATGAGCAGGCGCTGAGTCACTCCAGGCAAACAGTTTTCATATACCCGACATGCATCTGCAAAGCTTTCAGACTGTGCTTCTTTAGAAAACAGGGAATCTTCCTCCCAAAGACCCCAGACAAAGTTCTGTTCACATTCAGCTCATTCCTGCTCAGGTCTCCCTTTTAAACTGCCAAAGCCGACCCTGAGGCATGTGTCATAAACTGGACTGGAAGGCATGAAGTAAAATTCTGCCACATCCTGTCTGTAGAAACAATGTGAGCTGAGCCTCTGTTGCCAGTGTGAAAGGGGGTCAGTATGTGACTTATCTCACAAGATTGCTACAAAGATTAAATGCAGGGACGGACGTATAAAATACCTGGCATAGTGCCTGGCTAGTAGGAGGCAGATGAATCAACCCAATTGACACAGAAAATGAATTTATTAGCTTACTTCCCTTGGAGATTTGAGAGTAAAGATGACTTCCGGCTTGGCTTGAGTCAGTGTTTGAGTGACGACCTAGGTTTCATTTGAGAGCCCTTTTTCTTCTAAGATGTTGTCATTCTGGCTCCAGAAGGTGACTTCCGGGAGCTGTGAGGTCTTCCCACACAGTAGCCAGCAGAAGAGAGGTAAGTTACCAGTGTGGTGAGCACTATGTTCACTATCTCAGTTGGGCTCTAGTGATGTTCCCAGAACTGAGAGGACACAAAAAGATTGCAGTGAGGTTTTCTCAAGGCAGAAAGGAGTTGGTATGGCTGTCAGGAGGGAAGCATATGTGAGAAAGTTTAAAACTAGCAAAATATGTCCAGTAGAGCATTTAATAATCACTCAAAGCAAATAGGGACAAGAGTCTTTTTGACTGTAGTTCTTTTTTTCTTTCCTTTTATTAGTACATGTTTGCAGTACATAATGATAAGATTCATTGTGGGGAGTTGGTATGTGTACATAGCACATCTTAAATCTTTCTTTTTAATTTTCTTCAACAATATCACTCATAATGGTGTTGCTCTCCAGAAAGGAAGTTCTTAGCCAGAGGTGATGTTGCTAACTGGGGACATTTGGTAATGTCTGAAGACATGTGTGGCCACCACAACTTTTGCAAAGATGCTACTGGCACCTAGCATGGAGAGGAATCAGAGATGTTGGTAAACATCTTAAACTGCACAGAACAGTTCCTGATAAAGTATCAGGTCCAATTATCTGGGACTGAGAGACACTGCTTTATTAGGAGCATCAACTGTTGAAAATAATCACTAACATTTATCAAGCCCTTACTATATGGAAGTCACTGCACTGAGCATTTTATATGTACTACCTCATTGTAGCTACTCACTGAGAATATTGGCTGGGAGATATTATTTCCATCTGAAAAGAAAATAAGAAAATGCATGAGGCACAAAGTAAATGGTGGATTCAGGACTCATATTCCAATTTTTTTTAAATTTTCAAACTCTAGTTTCTAAGAAGATTTCTCTTCTACTGGAGGTTAGCCTAATTCTCAATTAGCTTCTGAACTCTAAGGAAGAGCAAGCATACTTACATAACCAAAGCTCACTAAAACCATTCTGGATGATATTGCAACAATATTAAGCCAAAACTGAAGTGACCGCAGATTGTATGGGAAGATATCTATCAATAAGTCACAGACTTGTAAGGATATTGGTAATTTGAATATACCTCCCAAGCTGTTTGCTCCTGTATAAATCTTCTTAATTTGACTTTAATGTTGGGATCTCCTGTTTGTTCTTTTTGTTTGGCGTGGAGGCACAATATATAGTTGAGATTGTCCATCTCTCCATCCACCTATATGAAGA